TAAAGGAAATAATCACCATTTAAATGTGAAATGTACAGAGAACAGTATGGAGAGTAAGCATACTGATGTTCGGACGTGAAAGGTCAACTGTAAGCTCTAAAGTATGTTCCATATGGCGCGACTTTTTGATGAATTTTAATTCATCAATTAATTCATTCAATCAATTCATCAATTGCAATTAAAATTGTAAGTTCTGCAAGCAGTGCATGTGTACCCGTATCAAAGGGTATTTAAAAACATCGTTACAAGGAAATGACGGGTTTTCAATACATTCACTATATTATATGGAGTGTATTTTATGAGCTAATGGTGTATTATCTAGATCACTAATTGCAATATGTGTAATTTTAGGATGCGTCATGAACGATATCTTTTGATATTACCTTGTTTTGATTACCCGTGATTGTCGTTGCCTTTTTGCTTTTTTCGTGTTGTCACATTAGTAACTCTGAGAAATAACTCATTGTCCATTGCACAAGCTAAAACAAAAACACCAACCTTTGTTACTGAGCTTGTGTGTGGTGTTTTTTAACCTTTTCCTTGTTGAAAGGCAAGGTTTTCAGTAAATCCATGAATGAAAACATTACTTACTCATGGGAAAATGGGTTTGCTCACGTGGCAAATATCTTGACGGGTGTGGGGCACTGGGTTAATTTTAATTCTTGAGTTAGTTTTATATCTTTTTGCTGTTTGTATTCTGTTCCATTCAGTTAAAGCACTCACTAAGAACAATCCCACAAACTGACAAACCATAGCCTTGCTCAGATACGAAAAGTCTATGGGTCTTGGGTATTTGGTTAATGCTAATTTTTTAATCAGTTTTACACCTTTGCATTTAGTTTTGCTATTTACATTTTTTCCTGACACACACGAAGAATAACCTCACAAACCAACCAACCATAAATTTGCTAAGACATGAAAAGTCTTTGAAGACCTTTGAAGGGCTGGGGTATAGATCGTTTTCACGTGACGTCACATCATTTCCGGTCGCCATATTTGTATACAACCCAGGGTAATATTATATATGCAAATAATAAGCACATCAACAATTTCTGCCTGTAAAAATTAATACTACAGCAAGGGAAGCAAAATTAAGTACCAATACTGCTATCAGTATCCATCCTCCTCTTTCTGAGTACGCCAAGAAGTAAGGCAGCGTTTTTGGAAAAAATTTCGGCGATTGGAATCGATCCCGTCCTTATTCAGAGTAAGAATTTTCAACCAGACTGCTTGCCTCCAGTTGAATCTACAGATCTCCTTTTCTATCTGGTTTTGGAGACGAGCTTCTACACGCAACAACAGTTTAAGGCTTTCCGAAGCTTGGAAGCCTACAATCAGATGGTTTCGGGATTTATANTCCGACGAAGGGCTAACGCTCGAAACGTCAGCTTTTGTAATCATTACGTCCGACGAAGGGCTAACGCTCGAAACGTCAGCTTTTGTAATCATTACGGTGGCCAATTTACCATTTCAACTTTGTTGATATATCCAAATTATTTCGGTACTCCCACCGACGCAGCCTCAAACAGTTTCTTTCGAAACTATCAGCCTTTATAGACTTTGTGGCTTGAGGCATTGAGTTAATGCAAATGAATTGATATTAAACAATTCTTTGTCCCCTTCAAGTATTCCACACACCGAAAAATAAATCCACAGAATTATAGCTATAATATGACTTAACAGAGAAGAAATCAAAATCAAACTTATCGTCCTACGACCTTGTGGCCCAAGATATCCAAAAACACCATCGCACGTTATCACTTGTAGATTGAATCAATCTATGTTTAACTACCCAGTGCTAAACAGTCAAGATGGCATTACTGTATTAGACGGAATCGGCCATACAAGGGATCAAATACAAGGTTCCGTTATCTGGGTTAAGGTATACAGCGCGGTGCAAGCAATTGTAATTGAAAGACTGGTAGCTACTAATTTGAAACATGAGTGAGCCAGTGTAAAGAAGTCATAATGTGTTAAAAAATGGCTCACAAAAGACCTTCAAGTAAGTTTAGTGATCATTTTCTTAATGATTTGTTACTGACTTAGAGAATCCATCAGCCCACATTTGCTTACTATATTAGAGGGGTACAGTGAAAGCCCTTGTACTAAAACCTAAAATGTAAGGACTTGTATTCAATGATCGCTCCCTCGGAAACTTTGCATGTTCATTTATTGTCGTGCAGCGCAGAAAAACATTCATGCATTACTCTACGTTAACGAGAGCAAACTCACTTTTGCGTGTAAATTTTTATTGGAAATAGCCCAAGAACTCTAACTAGTGTTATACAAAAGTTGCTTTCCGAAAGATTGTAATAACTTTTACAAATTATACCTAGTTATTAAGAGGAAAGGAAAGCCACTACTCCCCTAATTTATCAGAAAGGTAACGGCGACATATTACGTGAACTGGTTAGAACATCATACCTTCCTGTCATTCCCAATTTGCATAATTACTTTTATGCCTTAGGTACAGATCGAGAGTGGTATATAATACTTAAGTGCCCTTAATGAGTCAACGTGGTTATGTGGTTGTAACTTCTAACTATTGTGAGTGTTCTTTAATACCCCAAATCCTTTCGGTAAACTGAATCTGGGAAATTAATTCAAAACATCATTACTGTTCCTTATGGGGTTCCATATTGTATAATCAATATTGATCCCACATCCATTTACAAAAAACTAATTATTTAGAAAAGGCAAACGTACATAATAAGGCAATGTAGCTATTTTAAAATTTAGGCTTCCATTTAAACCAGCTTACAGCTGAACTGAGCCAGCCTTGTCAAATGTTACTAATAAATGGATTAAAAATTGAAATTCTTCTTACACACACACATACACGTCTCTTACGGTCTTCAAAAGAGCGCATCTCGACAGAACGGTTTGTTAACTTCTAAAAAAATTAGCAGGAAGCACTCCCGTGCTTTGCTATAAAGCTCAGGGATGTTGCGTTCGAAGGAAAAAGTGAGTGAGCTATAGAATTGTGGTTTAGAGGTTTGTTTAATGTATAACTGACTTGTCAGAATCTATCTATAATCGTTATAGTTTTCTGAGTCTCGCAGAAAGTTAACCGAAGAAGATTAGGATTTGTGCAAAGATTCTTCCTCCACATAAGGTGGCTAAGGTCGAAATACCTGTAAAACTTTTTTTTGGAGTCTTAAGGTTACTTAATTTGGCACGGGACCGAAAACGAAAGTGTGAAGCATGACATCTAGTGAGGAGGAGGAGAAATAATTATCATTATTTCTCCCCGTCGGCTAATATGTTGAATTTGTGTGCAAGCGATCAGTTCTCCCCCCGCACCCTCTTCCCTCCCCAACCCTTGGTTATCCAAGAGAAGATCACGATGAACGTTATTACTTTAATGACAAGGGAATTTTTAGAGTTATCTCAACTGGTCCCAGACCTCTCTTGGCCATTTTCTGTGTAATCCACAGTGGTTTGTTTGCTCCTGCGTATCCAGCGAGCGCAAAAGATCCTCGGAAATCCGGCAGCACAGGGTCCTTTGCTCCCAATCTCTTGAGAGCGTCAAGTGCCGGTGTCACGTGAAATGAACCTTCTTCTTGAATCGCTACTAAAACGATTTTACTGCAAGGATGAAAGGGACATTTGTTAAGAATAATAAACAAAACGTCTGCATTATCAAGAATCACTGGCTTTACGATTAGTGTAATGTTTAATCACCACTTTTCCTTTCCAGTGAAACGTGCATGTAAAAAAAAAAACCCTGACGTGACAGTTTTGGCTAGTATTCACAAACCTGGGAGAGGTGCATCATGAGGTGGAACTCAGAAACGCTTGGCTTTACAAGGGAGCATAGAGGTTACAATTTAAAATCTTTCCGTCTTCCTTTAAATTTTAATGTACCCGATACAATGCATGCTGAACCCTATACTCTACCCTTGACATACTTTCCGTTGAGGCCGTTGAGATATCCTCTAAGGCGATCAGCGGCACCTGAGCTATACTGCGTATCAAATGCTTTTCCCTCGAGAATGCCACCTGCATGCGAACAAAGGCAATTTACTTGATTAACTTTATTTGCCAAACGGTTTGAAGTGAGAAGCAGAACTTGATTTGGAAATGGCAGCTGTTACACCATTTCGCTGAAGACTCTCTGAACTGGGTGAGATTGTAAAGATCAGCCATAAGGAAAATGTAGACTAAGTTAATGGAGTCAAAGACCCAGTTGTTTTCATATCGTACCTGTTCTGCCATCAACAACTACAACGTTATATCCCCTGCCGTGAGGAGAGAAGTCCTTTCCATTCACCTCGATTTTAGTGAAGCCACATGAGTTTGAAACTTGAGTTCGTCCTGGATCTTCACAACCCTCGCTTCGAATGTGAATGTCCACTGCTGGCCCTGAAGAGGGAAAAGGTGAAATCTTGGAGTACGGTTAGCACTGGGGAAAACGCGAACACACAAGAAGAGACCTTTGAAAATACCTCCTGCTGTAAAAGAAGAGACTGAAAACTAACATGTTTCATTCACCCCATTTATGGAGGGTTAAAGTTTAGTTCAATGATGTAATTACTAGGAATTAAATTCGCTTTTCACGGTAGAGGGACAAACAGAATAAAATTGCAAGGAAAGAGAGAGTAAGTTGATCGAAACAAAGATGAAATGTAACATTGCTGTTCACCCTATTGCCTTTAAAAGTGACTAACTTTTAATTTTTCCTTACTTTATCTTCTCTGAGTGTAACATCAAGGTTATGGGAATGAATGAAATAATCACCAACCTAAAGAGCCATTGATTGCATACAAATTTTTGGCAGTATCATAGAAATTGTTTAGTAACCAGTATGGTAGATATGTTCACTAACGTCTGGGTGTAAAGGGTTAGTAGTATTAAAGTCGATGGTTAGTGTTGAGAGAAATTCTTGTTTAATCATGTAGATTAAGTTTACCTTTCATCAAAGCAAGTGATAATTGAAGCTGAGCTCGATGCTGTGCTAAATCTCGACGTAGCTTGCTCGTGTCCCTCTGCAACTGGTTCTGATTTTCATGGGTTTCGTCAAGAGAACGGAAATGTATGATTAAAGCAGGAACACTTCCAAGAGCAGGAACGCATACTGAAAATCCTACCATAGGACTGATAAGTAAGAAGGAACCAACACAAATGACTGACGAAGCAAAACCGCCTGCAATGGTAAAGCCTTTTTTCGTTTGATTTTCGATGATGTCTTTTTTTAGGTCTTCAGTAAACTTCTCAAGCTCTGTGTAAAAAGGATTCAGCATTTCCAATACGCTCTCAATTTTGGCGTGCATCGTGGTAAAGTTAATGTTCTTTGGCTCTGAGTAAAAGTGTGCCATTATAGCTTGCAATACGGGTTTCATTTTTGTCTGTAACTCCTCGAACCTACGCCGATGTTCCTCGTAGTTTTCAGCCAAGGTCACAGCCTCTTTGTAGAGTTGATAACTTAAGCATATTAAATACACAGACGTGATAAAAAGATTTCCCTTTGCAGAATTTGCAATTTCAGGTGGTATTTTCTCGATCACGTCTTGGAAGTTTTGGACGGCGAATTTAAATAACTGACTTAACTGTTTCCAATCCACTGAAGCCAGGCATTGCATGAGGTATTTGTTGAACTCTTCGTCTGATTGGGATGTCATCAAGGCACTCACTAGCTTAAGACAGCCTTCTGGTTCGATGACCGACTTCGTTGGTGATGTAAACAGGAAAAGTAGAGCCAGAACTCGGCAGAAACGAAAGCGGAAGTACTTTCGGTCTTGTGAAGACATCCTCCTTATATATAGTCGCTTGTAGCGGTGACCAGTGAAAAAACTCTGGGAAGACAAAGTACTTGAGTAGCAGATGTGATGGAATCTGATTGGGAACTTTACAGACAATCCCAAGATTAAAAAAATACGTTTAGTATAGACGTTGTTTGCGCTCTCACAGTGTTTCACGCGTGGGCTTGGCACCTGCGGTAAAACTAAAAGAACACACAAAA